AAATGACCTTCGTTCCGCACACCTACACTACACACCTATTAACCCTAAAAAGGTTTTAGGTCAGTTGGGTGAACAGTTTCTGAGAACACTCGCGGACAAAAAAGTACCGGAGAACAAATAAGAAAAAAAATAATAATAATAATAATAAGAAACCGAGTAAAAACAATATGTTCCCAAACTCCGTTTGGGGAACATAATAATAATAAGAAACAGAGTAAAAACAATATGTTCCCCAACTTCGTTTGGGGAACATAATAATAAGAAACAGAGTAAAAACAATATGTTCCCCAACTTCGTTTGGGGAACATAATAATAATAAGAAACAGAGTAAAAACAATATGTTCCCAAACTCCGTTTGGGGAACATAATTACAATTCTCAATAGGAGAAAATTTTGATTAAGAAGTCGAAATCAGTTTATTTCTAAATGGCAAATTTCCAGAACTGTTTGAAATCCGTAACTTCGTAAAGCACGACTGTTTTACTTTGAGGACATTATTAGGGGAATAAATAGTGTCATAATTGACAGAAGCATATGTAAAATCTCTTAATGTAGTAACACATATAAAAGGAACAACCTTTAATTGTGTTTATCAATATAATATGGGTAAAATAGAATTTGAGAATACGATGAGTTAACATGATTTTAGCAGAATGATATTGAATGTTCATAAATTATATTATTTTTAAAATCATATAAAGAATCAGGTTTTTGTTTGCGTTGATACCATGATTCATTTGCATTTTTTATAATAAAAAGTTTAATTTACCTACCAGGTGACGGTTTATATTTTACCACCAACCCCCAGGACACCACTGCTTTTTATATGGAGTTTACCACCTACGACCAAGATAATGACCCCTCCCCGGGAAACTGTGCCTTGTTGTACGGCGGAGGGTGGTGGTTCCGGAATTGTTACCAGGCCTTCCTTAATGGACCCTGGGCCTCATCCCAGTGGTCGAACCCGTGGGGTGGAACAGTTCCCAGTGGATCAGATGTCAAGGAAACCGTTATGATGATCAAACGAGAGTAAAATGCAACGGGATAAGTTAGGTTATTTACACTGGGGATTTTTCTTTCAATTCACAATTGAAATAAAGTATTTATTAAATATATATATATTTATTAAATTCGATTAATTGTATAGTTTCAAGCTGATCGATTATCTTTTGACCCTAGAATGATGTACTTCTAATCCATCTATGATTCAACAGTTTAAAGAAAAAAAATGGTACACGGTGAAAGATTCTTAGATAATATATGGAGTTATTATACCTCTACTGATATTCCCTACATGAAAATAAGATAGTAAAATGTGAATCAATCCTTAGAAATCACTGTGAATGAACTAATCCCCCTGCGGTATTCAAAGAAGCTACATGTAATCCCTGCTTCGGAAGCTAATTCCCGTTTATTCGAAATCCTCTAGATTTTACTTTTGTGTCGTATAATATAAGTTAAAGAACCACTAAATTCTTTTTAATCTTTCCTTTATCATTAAATAACTAAAATTATGCCACGTCTCGAGAATAGTCCTTGCCTTGGGGAACTAAATTCTTGCTAACTCCCTCAATGATATACTTCAACTGTATAATAACGAGTAGTATTCAGGTTCAAAACAATACAAAATAGAAGCAGAGTCAACACAGGCCTATAAAACATCAGAAATTGGATCAGGTGTCATGGAGGTGTGAGCATCCCTTGTCGACCAGCTATACCAGCTGCCTGCTCCTTGTCATGGTGAGTAATGAGGGCCTAACAGATGAAAAATATCTGAATGATTCCTTAAAGTTGAAAAAAAAAATCACGTAGCATATTTTCTTCAATTACATTTGAGAATCTTTTACCGTCGGCTGACATACGGGGGCATCGGTGCTTCACATAAACACCCGGTTTTAATTTCTACCTTTTTGTATATCTTTTCATAACCCCCGCTTGAAAAGTGGGAGGGTACACAGCTAATTTTGCCACGTACGTTTCACGTATGTTAAACGTATGTGACACGTACGTGACTTCACGTACGTTTTCCATGAAAAAGATACCACGTATGTTATACATACGTTTTCACACGTGTGAATATCATGCGTGTCACATATGTTAAACGTACGTATTGCCCACCATACGTTACACATATATTGCACACGTACGTTATTCATACGTTTCACATATGAATAACGTACGTGCAACGTGTGTGTAACATATGTTTCTCATAACATGTTTAATGGGTTTATTATTTGCACTGCTCATATAGTAAATGTATGAATACCATACAAAATTGTGTCAAACCATGGTTAAACACATGTTTTGAACATTTTTTTCACATATTGTAAACGTTGGTGAAACAAAAATTACGTGAAATTTAAATATTCAATTCATGCATTTGACATAATTTCCCTCAAAGGCATATTTTCTTTTCATCTGTTGAATGATCCACTTTCTGGTTATCCTTCACTTTAAATTTCCTGATCCTTAATTGCTCTTGAAGCAATCACAACAAAAGACATATTTAGATTTAAACCAAATTTAATGTAGAGTATGTTAACATCAATTCATTTTTCTCCAGTTCTCTTTTGCCTGTAAAGAAAAAGAAAATATTAGATGCATGGAATAAGGGAAAAACCCATTTTTTTCCCTGAACATTATTATTATCCTGATATTAATCCTGGTTGATTCTCTGTTTAACTTAAATATAAATACTAAATAATTAATTTTTTAGTATTCATAACCATGATATTTTAAACTATTTTTTTCACTATATCCTCAAATATTTACCTTGTAATTCTCTTATCTAAAATTCATTACATAGCATTGATTTGTGCGTGAACTCGGAAAAAAAGATGTGTTTGTACATACTAATACCCCATATGCCAGCTTATGGTTAAAGTTACCCAAGTATAAGTCAAACTCCAAAGTCAAGGTCAAAGGTCAAATTGTTGACATCCAAGGAAGGACTTGTCACAAAGAATAAATCTGTGAAATATGAAAGCCCTACTACTACCAGCTCAAAAGTTATGATCAAAGTTAAATTTTTTTAAACAGTGGGTTAAACTAGAAGTTCAAGGTCAAATATTTTAATTTATACCCATTGAAAGGTCTTGTCACAGTAAATATACAAGTGAAGTATGAAAGCCCTTGCACCAACTGTTCAAAAGTTATAGCCAAGATTCAAGTTATGAAACTTTCTTAAAAGTTAGTCACAATCCAAGTTCAATTCTAAAGGTTAATTTGGTGTACCAATACAAAAGTATTGTCACAATGAATACCCAGGTCTATGAAATATGAAGGCCATACTTTCACCCACTTAAATAATATGGCCAATGTGAAAAGATTTTGCAGACAGACAGACAGGGCAAAAGCTATATAGATGTACTCCAGAATCTTTGATTACAGGGGTATAAAACTTATTCCTCATTGTCATGAACTTAGTCTTTTTGCTTTCAACTTAGGAGCATTCTATAGATTTTCAATGAATCAACGCATTTTCAGTTTATGATTAATTCATAAAGCTGTGCCTTTACATCTGATCCACCTACCCTGGGGCTATATGAATTTCATAATTTTAGTAGGACTCAATGCTTATTAAAACCTTGCTAATAGTTTGCTTGATGTCCAATCAAAAAAATACAATTTTGAATAATTTTGATGGGTAACCGTTACCCCCCCCCCCTTAGTTTGGGTGGCGGTGTTGGAAGGATGCTGTAAATGCTAAAATTTTACCAGACAGAGCACAGTGTATGACGATGGACAACTGGAAACCCAAGGGCCTTGAATTGCTCTTCTAATAAATTGTACAATCTATCACTAGTATTTGAAGCCTCTATGTTTATAAGACCCAAAATACATCAACCAAGAAAGTTCCATAATGATTCTTAGCCAGTTAGGACTGAAGATATTTCAATAGAGCTATAAAATACCATAAGTAGGTCATGGTGACCTACTTTTTGGTCGACATTCTCCAAAAACCCTAGATGCCTCAACTCACAAAGTTTAACAATTCTAGGCCAATATAGACTTCTTTTGGTTTTATCTTCCTGTTTATCTCCCCTGTATAAGGGTCCAAACCCTAATTTTAGTATAAATGGTAGCCCTTGGGCCAAGGATGCTCTGTGAAAATTTGACAATGATTGTCCAAGGGGATCTTGAGTTATGGCCCACATTCTAAAAAGTTTATGCACACCGCACAAATGGCCATAGCATTAGCTCTTTGAGCCTTTGGCTCAGAGGAGCTAAAAACAGTATTCATGTACACCTATTTACTGACTATAAGGACAAAAGCTAGTTTATCGTCCTCCAAGACAACAACTATTCCCAAAGATGCAGCCGAGGGAAATAGTTTGCTGTTGAGGGAGATGATAAACAAGCTATTTTCCGAATAGTTAGTGAATAGGTGTTATTATGGCACCTGATCCCACCTCTGATGTTTCGGGGGTCCATGTTTGCTCTGCTCTTATTTTGTATAGTTTTATGGACTTTGAGATTGAATACTGTTCGTTATCTCCATATTCTTCTATTATATACTGAAGCTGACTTAATTATATGTAAGGTCCAATCAAAAAAAAATATATGTTAAAAAAAATAGACAACTTTCACATTAAATTCACAAAAGTTATTCCCCGTTGTGGGGTCAATCCAGCGTAAGGCCCTGTTTTTCCCTCTGTAACCTTACCAAATTTATTGGTCAGTATCTTAAAAATAAAATCTGTAATGAATATCTTTCATTAAGATTTTCATGTTGCCCCAAACTTTGGCATGATACAGGTAAGATCTAAATAGTCCAATAACGTTTGAAGACTGAAAATAATAACAGGTAACTTACAATGGACAAAGTGGGAAAAATGAGAGTTATGCCGACAAGGGGAGATAACTCTTAGTAGTGTGAAATTCGTCAAACTTGATTGCATTTCAAATTTTACATGAAAAGCTTTAAGTTACATGTAGTATTTGCAAGTCTAAAAGCAATATGATCAGAAAATCTTATTCCTTTATAATTAAAAGTATTACCATATTCAAGATTATATTGGTTAAACTTTAAGAATCTGTTTTGGAGTCCATTCTAGGCATTTAGGTGTTTACAAAGATGAGCTTCAGTCACCATCCTGGAATGCATATCTAAAATCACATAAAAATTCTCAATCTCAAACACAATTTATATTCATAAGGATTAAAAGGGCAGATATGTAAAAACAAAACTGTTACACCATTATTGCACTCAAAGATATTAATGTCATTTACCATCTAATGTGATGTTTTATCGATAAATACTGTAAAAAGAAATAAATTCAGGGAGTGGAACTTTACATCAAATAGTTGTACGTTGTTTCTTTTTTATTGCATCTTATTTGTTAGGTTGAAAAACATTTTAAATAAATACTTAATTGTTATAACAGTACTTTTAAACTTCACCTTCATTTTGATATAACGTGCCCGTGTTGATGGATACACCTGGGTGCTGACCAAGACAGCTCACGTACTGCCTCAACATGGTCAATATTTTCTGTTTTTGGTAACCCAAGTCTCCATTATGTAATACACTGAAAAAAAAACACCCCCCTTAGTTTACATGCAACACACAGTCATAAAGTAATTAAATAATTGTTGATTTTATGCATTCCTCACCTTTAGCTAGGCCCTAGAACTTGCAGACGTCAGACTTCTCTTTCCAGTGACGTCACTGGTAATGTACATGTAGTACATACATGGAGGCTGGAAAATTCCGGAAGGTATATTTTATAAGTTTTATACGGACGGTACCCACTGTATATTTGATAATTATCTAGATGAATCATTTACTCCCTTTTGAGATTTGTTGTGAATTTATCATGAATTTCTTTCTTTTTTTTTTTTTAAATATATTTTTGCTCTTGAATTCGGATAGATTATATCTACCGATGACCGAGTTCAATTTTATGTGCCTCTACCGATATCCGATACACATGACGAGATTGGAGAAAACTTTGTTTATTGTTTTTAGAGTAAATTTTAAACCAATGCGAACTCATAACACCATGCCAGACATGAAAATGGACGTAAGGTAAACAATGTGAAATAAATTGAAACATTAGATACGCACACGACAAGTCAACAACGCACACACATGTATGCTTCAGTTGTGAACTGGGTTAAACCAAACAATAATGTTTATGTCAAAAAAAGATATTTTAGATTTTAAAATATATAATTATTAATTTGATAAAATACATGCAACTTCTGATCTAAGGACACGTTATACATATTATAAGAAGGATTTATAGATGGTCATATCACTATGATTGCTCTTCTTCCTGAATAACAGGTTAAGCCCTAAGCATTGCTAAGTGCCTATTGATTGTTATGTTAAATAATATCTTGATTAGTTCTCCAAAATCACGTGAACTATTAAGGTAAAATAGTTAGTTGTGGAAGTCAGCCATACTTTTATACAAAAAGTTCCTGTATTTTAAGCGAAATTATGTAGTCCCTAGCAACAATAAATGTTTAACGCATTGTTTTTTCTCTTTATAGCGAAAACTAAATGATAATTTGATTAATAAATTAAATTTGAAATAAAATAAAAAGGATTAGATTTATAGTCAACCTACATTTATCATACATGTATGTAATAGTATGAATTTACAAAATATACAGCCTTCTCATTCTCAAACATAGGTTTTCACACACATGTAAAACACCTTTTTAAATGCATATGTAACATGTGCCTGATAATACACATACTATATTCATCAACATATATGTAATGAGAGCTTTAGAAAACAAGTTAACCATAATTTATTTATGTACATTAGTATATTTAATGTGTGGTTTATAATGCACATAAACTATATCATCTTCCCAAGTCAAGAGTTTCTGATCCGCTCCGCTCCACATAAACCCTTGACCGAATAGGCTAAGTTTCACGGGGCTAGAAATGCGTTCTCTGAATGGCCTCATGCAAGTTTTCATAAACCAATCAAAACCATTGTTTTATTTAAACTGAAACTACATCGTACACATAAACACACGTCAGTTTTAGTCCCAAGGATAGTGTATTTTTCATTAGATAGCCCTTTTAAAGGTTTGTCTCAGTTTTGTAGTTGAGTTATATTGAATTTATTACCGACTACCAATATTATCTCGAATTCGCTGTTGAATTCGTTTACTCTGATTGGCTAATAGCAGAGGTCAGGAGAGTTCAAAATATGTAATCTCACTAGATGGCGTGACAGTAAACCCCGTCAAACTTAACCTATTCGGTCAAGGGTTTATGTGGAGCGGAGCGGATCAGAAACTCTTGACTTGGGAAGATGAAACTATATATATACATGACATTTGTGCTTTATAAAACACATGTAAACCATGAGTTCATTAACGTACGTGTAACATGTGGTTGACTATACACATGTAAACCATGTGTTCATTAACAAACGTGTAACATGTGGTTGACTATACACATGTAATCCATATGTTAATTAACGTACGTGTAACATGTGGTTGACAATACACATGTAAACCATATGTTTATCAACGTACGTGTAACGTATGGTTGCACATAACATATGTTACACGTATGTTTCACGTACGTAACACATACGTGTATGCCAAACATACGTTTAACGTACGTTATGTGAAACGTATGTAGTCACACATATGTTATACGTACGTTGTACCACATACGTGAAACGTATGTTTGTAATACACGTATGTGATACGTACATTTCACATACGTGATACATGTGTTATGTGCAACCATATGTAACACGTACGTGGCACAATTAGCTGTGTATATAGTAATCGGTATTTCCGTCCGTCCGTCTGTTACGCTTTGGGGTACCCATCTTTTATCCGCAACTCCTCTCATACCACTGAAATGAAACTTTCACAGATTCTTAATTACATATTGCCATTGTGCACCTCCTATTTTACTTTTTGATCTGGTATATATTTTTGATTTTCCAGAGCAAAACATGGACACTGCCATTAAATTCATATGGGAGGCGGGGGTATCATTTAGTGAGCTCATTGCTCACAGTACCTCTAGTTTTAAACTTCATTGCATGAAAAAGGAAAATAATTAGCAATGTTCGATTCGAAGGGGAAAACAATCCAGATATATATGAACATGGAGTATAACAAGGACCCCTACATATTCCAGAAGTGGGATCAAAAGATTTACAGGCAGTTAATTATCACGTGACTGCCTTGCGCGTACAGAGAAATAATATCCATAATAAGCCTAAATGAATTTCTTAACAGGATAAACAATGGCATAATGTGCTTTGAGGATCAACTAATATAACAAAATATAAATCTATTTAATCGTGACAAAGGATGTGATTTTCTTGAATAATTTTCTATATAGATTGTCTTTATCGGACTCAGCATTATTTTATGTTCTGAAGACTTGGTCTATGCATTATGGTATATCTAAATCAACGTGTTTTATATAAAGTGTTGTATATCGTTTAAGAGTCTCTTTATTGGATCAATGACTTCATCTGATAATGCACTGACGGCTTCTAGAATACAATTTTATTTGAAAATAAATACGCTATGGAATGATTAATTGAATATTGTTTAACGTCGAGGAACACGATTATAATTATACCCCCGCTCCGAAGGAAACGTCGATATACTGTATTACCAATGTGTTTCTGTGTGTCTGTCTGTCCATAACAATTTCTGGTCGCAGTTTTCTCAGCAAAACTCATCGCAGGTATCTGAAATTTTAGACTCCCTCTAAATTGGCCTGTATAATTCATTTTTGTAAGAATTCGACGTGAAATACCTGTTGATTCGAGCGTCTGTCTTGCCTGATTTTTGTCCCCCGCTTGAAAAGTGGGGGATATTGATTTCGGTCTGTCCGTCCGTTTGTCTGTCTGTCCGTCTTTGTGTCTGTCTGTACCGCTTTTGTTTTCACACGATATCTCGAGAACCCTTTGAGCTTTCGCAATGAAATTTGCATAGCAACTTCCTATAGACTAAGGAAGAACCCTTTTGATTTTGAGATCAAAAGGTCAAAGGTCAAGGTCATAAATTCGCAAATCCTGTCTGTTATAACACTTTCGTTTCCGCGTGATATCTCGAGAACCCTTTGAGCTTTTGCAAAGGAAGACCTCATTGATTGTGAGGTCAAAAGGTCAAAGTTTAAGGTCGTAAATTTATACATTCTGTCTGTGTGTAACACTATCCTTTTCGGCCAAATATTTCAGAAAGATTTTCAGCTTTTGCAATGTAATTTAAAACCAAAAAATTCCCTAAGACCTCTCTCACACCTCTCAAAGTGACCCGCCCCGTTTGTATTACATGTATTAGTATTTATTGTATTACTATCGCTAGTTTTAGCACAGGGGCATGAGGAGAGTTATTACGCATAAAACAGGTTCTCGCGGACACCTTATTCTTATTAAATCTATTAGTTTAATAAAGGTTAAATTATACACCATGCATTGTGTAAAATGTTGACAATATCGAACGTGAATATATACATGTACATTTCTTCATATAATTTTCGCAGATGTAAAGCAATTCTGTGGTATAGTGGTATGTCTCTCGCTTCACATGTGAGAGGTCCCGGGTTCGATTCCCATATGATTCATGATTCATATTCTTTTTTTTCCCAGAAATCCTTTTTTTTTACTAAATGATAGTATTCAGCATGTGAATGAAAAACTTGTTTTGCTTATACAAACAAAATCATAATTACAGTGTAATAAATATTCCATATAAAAAGAATCTTCTATACACATAATAAAGAAAAAGCAATCAAATCTTTATATCCATCTTGGCATATTTTATTTGCTTCAGTATACATGTATACATTTAATAATTCTACAAATTCAGTCAGGGGGATCCGACCCCCCCCTAACTGTGCATGGTTTACATTTTCCCTAAGCGGGGGACACAAATTCTCTGAATTAGCTTGTCCGTTACAGTTTTTCATTAACTGCTCAACGCAATTCTTTCAAATGTTGGTATACTCTTTGTTTTGGCATGCTATATTTTATAGGTGGAAGTCATTTTTCTTGGAATCCGATGTCAACTTCCTGTTTATCTGCCCGTATGTCTTCACAGTTTTCTTGGAAACTTTTACTTATTGCAGGTGCTTGAAATTTTAGCACACTTCTTGTTTAGGTATGCCATAATTATGGTTGGATTCATTTTTATACAAAATCAATGTCAAAACTGAACTAGAATATTCACGACAACATCAGATCAGGGGTATCACAGAAATTTTATTTTATTTGAAGACTACTTTCTCAAGCAAACAAAAACTTAACGAAAGAGTTGCATTATTAATGGTCTATGTATAAACTCCAATTTTTTATGCCCCCGGATTGAAAGATCCCGAGGTATATTCTTTTATGCCCCGTCTGTCTGCCTGCATGTCTGTTTTTTGTCTGTATGTTGTCAACTTTAACCTAGCCCATAACTATTGAGTGGGGCTATGGCTTTCAAATTTCACCGGTTTTTTTTACTTAATGTGACAAGACTTTTCTTAGAGCACCACCAAATTTGTCCTCTGGACCTTGACCTACTTTTACAAACCAGAAGTCTCTGTCGAGACTGAAGCTCTACTGTTTGAACTTATAGCAAAGGAAGAGAAAAGTACTAAAGCAGCTGGGATTTGAAACTTTACACAGCAAAAAATAGAATAATGATCGTTGATAAAGTCTCTTTATATTCTTAGTGTAGTCTATTTGTGTGCCAAGTTATATTGAAATCAGACCAAAACTGTGGGAGGAGTAGCATTTTGAGAGAATTTCACAGAAATTTCTATTTTTAGTAACCACGGCAACACCGTTCATCGAAATCAAAAACCGATACACAGATTTATGTATCTTAGTGTATTCTACTTGTGTGCCAAGTTATTCTGTAATCAGACCAAAACTGTGGGAGGAGTAGCATTTTGAAAGAACTTCACAGAAATATCTATTTTTAGTAACCACGGCAACACGTTCATCGAAATCAAAAACCGATATAAAGAATTATGTATCTTAGTGTATTCTACTTGTGTTCCAAGTTATACTGAAATCAGATTAAAACTGTAGGAGAAGTAGCATTAAGAAAGAATTTCATAGAAATTTCTATTTTTAGTAACCACGGCAACACCGTTCATCGAAATCAAAAATCGATACACATATTTATGTATCTTAGTGTATTCTACTTGTGTGCCAAGTTATACT